AGTCCCCCCCCGCCCCCCCTGCCACTGGCCGTGACTGGCGCGCTTGACCTTGGGTCACCGGTGTGGCCTGAGACACGGACTGCTGAGGTGCGGCAGTGGGACTTGGTAGGCGCTGGGGCAGAGGGCTGCCAGCTGGGGGTCCAAGGCCAGAAAGATGCTGCTGGCCCTGTGGGGGTGGGCGCTGCTGCAGTGGAGGTCCCTGGCGCTGAGGTCCTGGGCCTGGCTGTGGAGGGCCTCCTAGGAACAGGAAAAAAGAACAGCCAGTGAGAGCGAGTGAGCAAGAGGTGAGGCTGCTAGGGATGGTGGGAACCCAGGAGGCGTGCCCTCACTTACCCTGGGGTGGAGGGCGTTGCTGAGCAGGAGGTCCTGCAGGCTGCTGGGAGGTCTGGCGGCCCAAGGGCACAGCTCCTGGGGATGGAGTCTGTGGCAGAGGAGTGGAGCAGGAGAGATTAAAAATAGTTACCAGCCAGTGGGAGCAATAGCCAATCAAAATGACATGGGTTCCCTGTGTGCTGGGTGTTGCTCCATTTGTGGTCAGTTAAGGGGATGTGGGGCTATAAGGCCCCTCACCCCACACTTGATGGAGGCCACATGTACATGAAGGTGACACTAGTCGTCTACTGATACCTCCTCAATGGCACCAGTTTGATCAAGGGCTGGCCTCCTTCCCATTAATTCAATGCCAAGGTTCTGACCTGGCTGTGGGAGCCCCTGCCAGGGGAGGCATCCCGCTGCCGCTGGCGAGGCAGAGCCTGAGCCATCTTGTTGACCACAAGTTCTACGATGAGCTGCTTGTCTTCATCCTGATGATCACCAATGAGCGGCATGGAGGAGCCCACCACCTGTGGGAGGAAAAGGGATCCAGTGTGGGGAGAGGCAGGAAGTGCATGTGAGGCTACAGTGTCAACACACTTGAGCTTGGCAAAAAGCATGGTGACTGGGAAGAAGAGAGCTCTGTCTGGTTTCTAAGGGGCAGTGATTGTACACTGTAAGGAAAGCGGTCTGTTCCAGGACTCTGGACAGCTTTGAGTATGGGACGTTAGAACGGGCTCTGCAAATCAGGGTCTATGGGGCAAATCTGGCCTGCTGCCTGGTTTGGTATTTATCATGAGCTAAGGTAGGTTCAATATTTTTTCTTCTTATTTATTTATTTATTTATTTATTTATTTATTTATTTATCTGGCTTTTCAAGACAGGTTTCTTATATAGCCCTGGCTGTCCTGGAGCTAGCTCTGTAGACCAGGCTGGCCTCAAACTCAAGAGATTTGCTTGCTTCTGCCTCCCGAGTGCTGGAATTAAAGGCGTTCGCCACCACTGCCTGGCTTAAAAAATCTGTGATCTTCTTTTTTAAAAGGAGGCAGAACCACAACTACACTACAAAATCATTGACATGATCCTGCCTCCCCCCTCCCAAGTCGCTAGGGGGTACAAGCCAGAGCCTTTTCATTTTTAGATGGTATCTTACTGTGTAGTCCAGGCTGCCCTCAAACTCTTCATCTCCTGCCTCAGCCTTCCAAGTGCTGGGATTATAGTTTCTCAGCACACCCAGCCTCTGATGTCTTTCAATGGTTGGGGGAAATTATTTTCATATGTGCAAAAGGCAGGAAATTTAAATTCCATGTATTTGAAAGTTTTGGACATAAACACATAAGTTGTATCCATAAGCACAACTGCACTAATTTTCCATCTTGCTTATGTCTGCTTTTGTAGAACTGAGTCAGAGGAAGGAACTACGTGGCCCACAAAGCGTAAACTATGTACTGCTGGTCTTTACAGAAGATGCTTGCTGCTTCCAGCTTTTTAGTTTACTGGGCACTTTTCTTTTCCAAAGTGCTTCAGTGTGGTTCTTCGGACACTTTAAAGGTTAGCTAAGTGCTTTGCCATGTATACACATTCTGCTTCCATGTATATCTGCACACCAGAAGAGGGCACCAGATCTCATAACGGATGGTTGGGAGCCACCATGTGGTTGCTGGGAATTGAACTCAGGCCCTATGGAAGAGCAGCCAGAGTTCTTAACCTCTGAGCCATCTCTCCAGCCCCAGTGCTTTGCCATTTTAAAGCTATCTACTCACAGAGCGCCTTATATATTACCAAGTGTCGCCACTCACCAAGGATGTCCAAGTGCTCCCCATTGTCCTTTGCTTACACACTGCTTTACACTCCACGTCACCTTTCACTGAGGACAATGCTTTACAGTTTACATTGTTGTTCCCATGCACCCACTCTTCCCTCTGTGTTCCACCAGTCCCTGGGTGCTCTCACCTCAATAATGTGGTCCCTTCCGTCTTTGCCATGCAGTGCTTCCACTGCGCAGATGTCAAGCCCCCCAAAAATCTCCGAGCATGTATCTACCCACAGCTTGTACCTGCCGAGACAAGGGACAGGGCAGCTTGTCATTGCCATGCCCAGGTGATTCCATTATACCCCCTCCCACTCCTCAGTTATGTCTCTCACCTATCAGACATGGCAATCTGCTCAAGCATGGCAGAGCCTGTGTTGGTCTTCCAGTTCCCTGACACTGATGTCCTCCTAGGGAGGGAAGGGGAAGAGGCTTAGTGGAGCCTGAGATGCATGGGGCAGGGCCCTCAGAAGGCCCCTGTCTCTCCACTTACATATAGGCCTTGTAGTTCTGCCCAATCTTCTGGACACGCACATCGTATTTGGCATCAATGAAGGGCTCAGCAGTGGCGTATGTTTTAGTCAGTGCCACAACGCTGGCGATGTCCTGGAAGTCATGTTGGTTGTCTACCTTGACCTGTGGGCACACATGTGAGATTAAGGCAGTATGAGGAATGGATGTATCTGGAGGGATGTGTAGACAAATATGAAGTGGATATGCCAAGGCACTGAAGCATGCATAATTATGGGTATCCTGTTTCATACATGTGCACACAAACATAAAATTGCTTTATGTAATTGAATATGCTTAAAAAAAACATTTCTTTTTTGCAGTGCTGGGGACCAAACACAGGGCCTTGCACATGCTAAACAAGGACTGTACCCCTGTGCTACATCCTCAACCCAAATTATCTACTTTAAACAGGGGAGTTAAATGGAGTGTAGAATTATTTCTCAATAAAGCTGTAAAAAGAACTGTACATAGGCCATACATAGACATAAAACCTCAGTTGTACACGGAATATACAAACACAGAAGCTGAGACACACTAACTTACAAATTACAAATCTGCTTGCTACATACACACAGACAAAATCAGCTGGATGGAAAGCATACTGGACCCCAAGAGCCTGGAACATAAAAGATGATATGTATTCATCACAGAGCCATGCTTATATATTCATAGCCATATGCTTGGTACACTAGCACAGTAATGGGACATACAAAATTGGCTGATTGCATGAGAGAAATGTGGGCTGAAAAAGAAAATACAAAATCCAGTTATATGAAGGCATCACAGAAAGCATCATCAAACAGAATTTTTGTGCATTGAGTACACAGATGCACATGTAACTGTGTACAGTGCCAGAGCATGCACTATACAAACATGCATGTGTGCACCACTGTGACTCACCTTGCCCATCCCAGAATGTGCGTGGCCCATCTTCACAACCACAGGGTATGTTGTGCTGCTGAGCTAGTGAAGATGAAGGCAGAAGAGGCATAGTCAGAGCAGTAGTGCTGACCTCCAAGAGTTGGTGACCCATAGAATGTGAGCTACACTGGTTGCCATTCCCCCCACCCCCAGAAAGAGGTTGGTCAGAGACAGGCGGAACTGCAGTCAATAGTTTCACAGCGACTCTGAGCCCAGATTGCAGAAAACTGCCTGCCAGTCACTTACTCTGCTCTCTAAGTCCTAGACTATCCATATCTGCTTCCCAGCCAGAGGCCTTAGATAAGGGTGAGGGAATTTCCCAGAAAAGAAAGTTTGTTTTTATGATGATTAGCTATTGGAGTGAGTGTGTGTATGAAGGTGTGGTAGTTAGCATGCAGAATGTCTTCAGTCAAGCCTTGCATGTAAGTTTCATCTTTATGTACACACACACACACACACACACACACACACACACACACACACACACACTTTATTTGAGATTACCCAGCCAAAGTCAGAGGTGTCCACATCTATTGAGAAGTCCATATGCATTGAGAAAGACCACCACAGGCTTAAATCACATCGGGGGCTTCGAAGAAATCCAGTCAGTCAGCTCACTTGCTCTTAGCATGTGAGCACGCCCGAACAGCATGCTCTTCACACTCCTAAGACCTACAATCGGCACCTTGGAGCACACACATGAGCTCCCTCCCCTTGCTCACACCTACCTAACAGAAAGAGCCACTCATTCAGTATAGAAGCACACACAACGCTAGAAGCACACAATAAATGGACATATGCATCACTCCCCAGCATGTCCACAATGAACAGAAGGATCAAAACAACATGCAGAACGTGTGTGCACGTTTAGGCATTTCCATAACCAAATTCCTATAACTCAGACCTCATTACATTCCTGGGTCCATGAAAAGTATATCTTGATGCAAAATTATTTTTCCATATCTATGACACAAACATACAGAAAATCAAACACACAGACAACACTCCTGGGTGTGGACATAAATGCAGACAATTATGAGTTAGGTAAAGATGTGTTAAGTTTCCCTATAACCTGGGCTGGGTAGAAGGGACCAGATTAGAGGACCCTAGCCCCATCATATCCCGTGTATAAATTCAGAGCCCCTGCCTCCTACTGACAGGGCAGGGAATGCATTCTTAGAGGGGTTCCTGGGCAGTGGCAGTTCCCAAGAAGCACAGGAAGCCCCATAGTCTAAGGGTGACTGATTGACCTTCAGGTCTCTCCCTCCCTCTACAACTTCCTCCTCCCTCATTTCCCAAATGTGTGTCGTCATGAGGATGGGGGGAGGGCTGAGTGGCATGGGTTTGGAAAGGGGGATGGCGGTAAGGGTGTCATCCAGGCAGCAGGCCAAAGAAACAATGCCAAGGTATGTGTTGCGTGTGAGAAGAGAGAGATCTCCCACTCAGGCGTCTACTCATCACACAGAGAAGTATGAGGCATGCACAGTTATATTTGCAACCTTCAACTCTCAGAAGAAACACCCTTAGATATATGCCTGGCTCTCAGGAAGGGAAATTGAGCCCACCAAGGGACACATGCCAGTCACAGAGGCACAGACACACCAGAGAGCTGTGCACATGCAAGCATACCTACTTCTACTTGCTGAGCTTTCTGGATCCTTTTTATAAACCAACTTTGTTTCCTCTGTTCCTGAGCTTGAACACAGTGCTGTGTGTGCATGTAAGTGTGTCTGTCTGTCATATGTACATACAGAGGGCTTGGGATTTCCTGGAGAGCCGTAACCTGCTATCTTGGCCTTCTTCCTAAGGCCGGGTGAGATCCCGGGTAGATACCATCTCTCTGGGCCTCAGTTTCCTGATCTGCACAAAAGGTATAATCAAGACCAAGCACTTAACACTTTCTTGGGGATCATCAGGTATTTGCACATGCCAGTGAATTCCTCACACTTACCCAGTTCCCCAGATAGAGACAAGCCAAACACCTTGACATCCACCCCACTGCATTTCAAACCTGCACAACAATCAAAATCCTCACATGTAACCAGTTGGCAAAAGTGGGCTGACTCAGGTTTTATAAAGAGCTGGTGTCAGAAGCAGGGTCATAGAGGAGAGACTGGACTTTCCCTCTCTTTACTTCTCCTCAGTCCCGCCACCTACTTACTCAGCCCTGTCTCATCTACTCTCACTCCTCACTTTCACAATCAGACAGTTGAGAATTTTGGTTTCCTTTCCTTTGTTCCTTTCTTTGTATCCCTACCTCCCCACCACAGTGATTTCTTCACTATCATTCCTGGACAGGCCATTTGACCCCTTTCTGTCTCTATTTTCTCATTAAATAATGAAAATATGAATTGTAACTCACAGGCATGTTGGGAAGAATAAATCAATTACTTCAGAGGGGAAAAAATCTTAGTATACACATAAAGTAAACCCGAATCTTCAAAGTGCTGGTTACTATTATCGCTGTTATTACTGATTTGACAACTCTTCATTAATTGACATTAAGGGAGAATGAGGACAATAGCAAATGAAGGAACAAAAAATCCAGTGCTTGCTGCCTGACAACCTGAGTGTGAGTTCGTAGGGAAGGAGAGGACTGGCTCCTGCAGGTGGAGAGCAATACAAGCATGAGTACAGCTACACACACACACACACACACACACACACACACACACACACACACTGAATAAATATAAGAAATCTTTTGTATATGGTGAGGGTTCTGTTGAGTGCTGGCAGTAGGTTTTTGTATGCTGTGGTTATTGAGCTAATCTAAATTAACAAAATTTAATTAGCTAAAATGACTGTACACAAAGATCTTAGCAATAGTACACAGTAAGTGCTCAACCAAGTAGCTGCTGTCATCACTATCATTATCATTTTGTGTGTGTGTGTGTGTGTGTGTGTGTGTGTGTGTGTGTGTGTCAAGGTCTCACTATGTATGTTCCAGGCTGTCCTGGAACTCACTATGTAGACCAGGCTATCCTCAAACTCTCCGGATCCACTTGCCTGCTGGGATTACAGCCATTGTCATTACTATTGGTCTACCCTGCCTGGATTAATTGAGGGTGTTAATCATCCCATAGAACCTTCCACACGACCCCAGAGAATATCCCTGCATCATCAGGAAGCGGGTGGGCAGTAGTTGCCTCATCCCACCCCACCAGGGATGTGGGCTGGTTGGTGGGAAAGGAGCTGGGCAGGATGGGGTGGGGATGGGTTTTCTACTGACTCACTAGCTTCTTTCACCATCATCCACACCCTCACTCCCCCCATTCTCACCACACTATTCCCTGGTTGCCAAGATTGGGCTCCGCCTGAGTGAGGATCTCAGTGTCAAGAAGCCCAGGTTTAAATCCCAGTTTTGTTCTGTGACCCTGGCAAAGTTCTTCACTTCAGCTATTTGCCTGCTTGATTTTGTTTCTGCTTAAGACAGGGTCTCTCGTAGCACAGACTATCTTCAAACATCCTAAGTTCTAGGCTCACTCATGTGTACAACCACAGCAAACTTTTGGGGATAGGTTACCACCTAAGCTCTATCTGCAGGCCACCTCAGTTCCTCTCCCAGTTCTGACACACTTAACTGCCATCTTCAAAAAATAACAGACACTCTCGGTGAATCAATTTCCTCACTATGTATTTGTGTCTCTTCTCCCATCTCATGGCCCTCAACTCTTTTTCTAGTTTGTCTTCCCCTCTGCCACCCCTCAACAAAAACGCCAGGTCCACTAGGAAAGCCGGCCTTGCAACAAAGTAGATGTACTAAGGCGCAGGAATGAAGCCATTGGCTTCAGCCATAGGAAGTTTGGGGAATGTAGGGAACTGGATAAGCACAGGGCTGTGGGGGCTTGGGCTGCCTTTCCATTTCCCCTTCAAGGCCGCCAGGGAGGAATGCGAGTGACGTGGAGCTGGGGGGAAGGGGCACAGTGGGCTGGCTGGCAGTGGAGGGAGTATCTTTAGGCCGGTCCTCCGGCCCGCCCCTAGGCTTCGATTCCTGCGGTGGGTGGATGAGTAATGCGTCCAGGAAGCCTGGAGGCTGTGATTTCCGCGCCAACTCCGCCCCTTGCATGGACATTTATTCTTCACCGCTCAGTCCCTGCCGCCATCGCCGCAGATCGGGCTTCTAGAGAGACACCAGAGGTAAGTGGGAGCCGGGTGTCCTGGCTGGAGCCTGTGTTGGTGCGACCACCAGGCACATCCGGTTCCCTGCCAGACTAGCTGCTTGACTGGGCTTGCAGGTATCAAGACCTCTATTTGGCCAAGGGGGAATACGAAGGGAAGGTTTTTGGAATGAGTATCCCAAGCTAGACTCTCCGGACTCCCTCATGCCCCTAGCATTCATCCCCAAGTGCTCCAAACCCACAAGCCTCTAATGCCTTAAAGACCTCCCAACTTGCCAACTCCTCTGAATTTTTCATTGTTCCCCCAAACCCCTATAGCTCCCTTAACTCCCCCTGCCCTCAAACTTTGCCATGTCCAGCTCCTGGAACTTCAAAAGTTCTTCTGCCTTCAAATTCCTCAACACTCCCATTACCTTAAACTCCCAAATTCCCCCAGACCCCATAACCCCTAAATTTCCCCCAGTTTCCTAAAATCCCAAACCTCCTCTAAAACCCTTAGTAGCCACAAATCCCCATGCCCATTATATCTTAATCTCCCTCAGCTCCCAGCCTCCCCTTATACTTCTCCAGTTTCCCAAACCCCAAATTCTTGACTCCACAAATGTCAGTCTCCAGACTTCTCCAACTCCACTAAATTCTCAAACTTCTCAGCTCCTGGACTCATCAACTGCCACAACTCCATTATCTTCCTATTCACTGTCTCCTAAATCACTGGAACTCAATAAAACCCAAAACTTTCCCAACTGTTTAAGCCCCTAAACCTCTCCAGGTTTCTCACCCCTTAAGATTCTCAGGGTTCCCTAATCTCCCTAGGGCCAATGGGTAAACAGATCAGTTGGGCTGGGGATCAACTACTACCTTGTCTCTCCCAGCAGATACCACTATGGCCCCCTTTGCATCTCTGGCCTCAGGCATCCTCTTGTTGCTATCACTGATAACCTCCAGCAAGGCCTGTAGCTGTGCCCCACCCCACCCACAGACAGCCTTCTGCAACTCCGACCTGGGTGAGTCTAGCCCCCTTTCTGTGCCTCTTAGTCCAATAGGGCTCATGATGGCAGTTATCTCTACAACAGTTGTACTTACCCTTGCATAGATCCACTTTGGCCATATTGACATCCTTAGGCCTAAGCCCACCTTTGTGTTGGCTGTTCCCTCCCAGGTAGATATTTCTCTGTAGTTATTCACATGGGTGGCTACCTCAAGAGTCATCTTACTGGGGTGCCTGTCTACTTTGTTTAAATTTTAATCCCTGCCATATAGTACATCTGATTCCCTGTTAAATAAAACTGTGAATTACACTTCTTAGGGCACAGAAAGGCAGACTTTATTCAGGACCATGGCAATCAGATTTTTCAGTCAGGGAGAGAGATTGGGCTTAACTCTCAACATAGCATAGGCAAATGGAACTCTACAGCCAAGGAACAGTTTAGGGATTGGTGACTGGGAAATCACTGAGAAGAAATATCACAGGCAAGGAGTAAAAAGATTCAGGCTAAGCCCATTTTTTAAAAAAAGATTTATTTTTGCTGGGCGTCGGTGGCACACGCCTTTGATCCCAGCACTCAGGAGGCAGAGGCAGGCTGATCTCTGTGAGTTCGAGGTCAGCCTGGTCTCCAGAGTGAGTGCCAGGATAGGCTCCAAAGCTACACAGAGAAACCCTGTCTCGAAAAAAAAAAAACAAAAAGGTTTATTTTTATTTATGTCTATGTGTGTGTGCACCATGTGTGGTGTGCAGGTGCCTGTGGAATCCAGAAGGCATCAGATCCCCTGGAGCTGGAGTTACAAGTGGTTGTGAGCCATGCTATGTGGATGCTGGGAATCAAACTTGGGTTCTCTAGAAGAGCAGCAAGTGTTCTGAACCATTAAGACATCTCTCGAGCCCATGAGCTCACTTTTTTGAGAGTAGGTCTCACTATGTAGCCCAGGCTGGCTTTGAACCCTTCATCCTCCTCACTCAGCCTTCCAAGTGCCGAGATTACAGGCCTGTGCCACCATACCCAGTTCAGGACTCTTGCTGAGAACTGGCCAGTGTAATCACCTGATGGTCAGTGGAAAATATGGAGCCCCTTCACATATCGAGGAGAGTCAGATGAGGGTGGGTTTTTCACTAAACTGATTTAGTATACTTTGGTACAAGTGGATTTTTCTTTTTCTTTTTCTTTTCTTTTCTTTTCTTTTTTTTTTTTTTTTCTTTTCTTTTCTTTTTTTTTTTTTTTGGTTTTTCGAGACAGGGCTTATCTGTGTAACATCCCTGGCAGTCCTGGAACTCCTATCTGTAGACCAGGCTTGCCTCAAATTCACAGAGATCTGCTTGCCTCTGCCTCCCGATTGCTGGTATTAAAGGTGTGAACCACCACCACCTGGCATCTACAACTGCATTTTTAAGAGAAACTGCACTTATAAGCTTGGAAGAAGGTTAATGAGCCTGAGTAAATTGTGGTCAAGCAAAGAATATGTGTCAATCTCCTCCCTTTTCTAATTCTCCATCATACTTAACAGCCTTTAACAATCCATATACCTTTTTCTCCATACTGGGGATTGAACCTAGGACTTTTCATATGCTAAGCAAATTGAGGTACAAACCCAACCCTTTTGTGAATTTCATTTTAAAACAGGGTCTCACTAAATTGTCTAGACTGGTCTTGAACTCACACTGTAGTGGTCCTCCTTCATCACCTTGACAGAGCTGGGGTTACAGGTTTGTGCCACCATGCCTGGCTACTTAATTTTAGTTATATCCTCCTGGCTTGAATGTGAGATCCACAAGGAAATGGATTCCTGTGTTTGGGTCACTGTTGTGTCCCTAACACCCTGAACAGTGGCTGCATATATCAGGCACTCCAAAATATTTGTTGAGAAAGCCAACAGATGGATATATGAAAAGTGCTTAAAACAGTACCTGGAAGAGTAGACAATGTATAGATGAATCAATCAACAGACATGGAAACATGGAAACCATTAAGTGTGCTGTCTCTATTAGAATTATGCTTGTATATATGTTTTGCTGTTATGGGTTCATGCTGCTCACTTAACTCCTTATTTTCCCCTTCCTTTCTAGTCATAAGGGCTAAATTCATGGGGCCCCCAGAAATCATTTTCAACTTATACCAACGTTATGAGATCAAGATGACTAAGGTATTCCTTCCTTCCTCCCTCCCTCCCTTCCTCCCTCCTTCTCTCCCTCTCTCCCTCCCTCCTCTTTCCCTGTCTCCCTCCATAGCCATATTAACCTCTTCCTCCTCCTCAAAATACTAGCATCTAGCCTTTGGTTGGTGTGGACGTTTCCCATAATTTTGTGATTTAGATATATGACATCAGGTTAAGAGGTAATGGAGTGGGAGGATTAAATCAGTAAAAGATAGACTTTTTGTCACTCATGGGCAGATGCTCAAAGGATTCGACGCTGTGGGAAATGCCGCAGATTTCCGGTTCGCCTACACCCCAGCCCTTGAGAGCCTCTGCGGATATGTCCACAAGTCCCAGAACCGCAGCGAGGAGTTTCTCATCGCGGGTGAGGCCCGCCCCTTCGCTTTGGGCCACACCCCTTCATCCTCAGATGCTTCCTGGCAACTGGGAGGAGCGAGGCTCTAAAGGGAAAGGACCTGGTTGAAATGGGGGCGGGAAGGTTTGTAAACTAATGCTAATCAGGTAACCCCAGCACCACCCGGCCAATCAAAAGCCTGTTGGTTTCTCCATTCCCTTACAGGACGCCTAAGGAATGGAAGTTTGCACATCAGTGCCTGCAGCTTCTTGGTTCCCTGGTATAGCCTGACCCCTGCTCAGCAAAAAGCCTTCTCAAAGACGTATAGTGCTGGCTGTGGGGTGTGCACAGTAAGTTCCTAGAACCAGCTCTCTTTCTGGAGATAATACCTGGAACGGTTTCTTTTTCCCTCTGGCTATTCTTTGTTATTGTAGCTGCTTCCCAAACCCAACCACTGCCTTTAATTTCTCTTGTTGTCCCAAACCTGCTCTTTTGGAGATACTGGTTGTTCTATTATCTTGGGACTGCATGTTCCCTGAACCTTCTCTGCCTCTCTAACTTTTCTTTTGTGTCTACTCTGAAATACTGCTGTCTGTTTCTGATCTCCCAAGATTGGGTTTGGCTTCCCAGGCATGTTCTGCAAGAATTCAACGTGTGATTTTCCAAATCCACAGGGATATGTCGACCTGGCTATTTCAAAACTGTTCCCTGACAGCAATAAATATCCTCTGACCTCAGTCACTGTCTGAGAGCCCCGTTGCCTATTCTTATGCTTAACCTCTCTGCATGCCAACTGTTACCCTCTACTCAGTTCTCTGCCCTGTGAGGCCTGCCTGAGTGACTTCAAGAGATAGTTTCCTACCCACCATTCCAGAACACTGGCTTTCTGTTCCCCAAATGGGAGAAGCTGTTCTCGGGTCTAAACACAGGTGGGGCAATGTCAAGCCTTCCCAGCTGCTCTGTGTTGCCAGAAGGAGAGTGGAACACTCTCCATAGGGGAGGGAACAGGGGAAGAAGAAGCCCCCAGAGTGGACCTTTCTCTCATCTTCCAGGTGTTTCCCTGTTCAACCATGCCTTGCAAACTGGAGAGTGATACTCATTGCTTGTGGACAGATCAGATCCTCACGGGCTCTGAGAAGGGCTACCAGAGCCGTAACTTTGCCTGCTTGCCTCGGAATCCACAGTTGTGTGCCTGGCAATCCCTGAGGGCCTAGATGACCCAAAGCCTACCCCCAGTGGAAGCTGAAGCCTGCACACTGCTCCCCTCCCCTCCATCTTTCTTTCTTTTAGACAGTGAAATAAAGAACTACCACACAGCAGTGCCGTTTCAGTGTAGTGTCTGGGAACAAACTCAAGACAATGATAACCTGGTGGGAGCATCCAGGGTCCAATGAAAAATGAATCCATTTGAAATGTTGAGTTTGGAGGCTGGAAATGTAACTTAGTGGTAGAGCAGCTGTTTTTCATGTACAAAGCCTCAGGGTCAATCTCTAGCAAAAAAGAAAGGAACAAAGGCCAACCTAGTCTACAGAGAGAGAGAGAATTCTAGGACAGCCAGGACTACATACTACCCTGTTTCCAAAATCTGAAACAAGAAAAAAAAAGGAAAAAGTGTTGGGTTTTTATACTTTACAAAAAAATAATATATTGGTAATAATCTAAACATTGGCATTAGTACTGGAACCTGAAAAATCAGTAATGATTACTCACTTTGCATTACCAACTCCAATCTATTGAATATTTCTCTACTCAATACTTTGAGACATCTTAGTACAGTGATTTTTTTTTTCAATTAGCAATAATCGCGCCTCGGATAAACCTCATTGGCTCCGATACTGCCACTGTGCAAAGCTGATTATTATTATTTTTGTTTCCTTTTTGTCTTTCTCTATGTGTTAATGTGTACCAGTAAAGGCTTATACATGCCATGACAGTCAAATGACAGCCTTGGGTGTCTGACCTTACTTTATCTGAGACAGGGTCTCATTGTTTACTGCATACAGCAGGCTGGGATTCTCCTTTCTTCCAGTTTACAAACAGATGCAAATTACCACTGCCCAGCTTTGTGTGGATTTGGGGATTCAATTTTAGGTCCTCATACTTGCATGACAAGTGCTTTATTCACTAAGACATCTCTCCAGCTCCATTTTGCACCCCTTTTTGAGACAGGCTGGCCTCTCACACTTGCTGTAATTCTCCTCCCTGTTTCCTGATTGCTGGGATTATAGACATTTGCCACCACACCATGCCTACTAGAGAAATTTCTAATTCCTACTTGCCCAAGCTTCTCTAGTTAGTAAATTATCCAGTTGAAAATTCCCCTATTCACAAATATCACCCCATTGACAAATTCATTGAAAACTGCCCTATCAATCTCTCCTTGCCTCTGGCATTATCCTAATGTAGTCTAGTGAAGATGCCTCATCCAAGCTGTTATACTTCCTAAATCTGACTTAAGTGAAAGGAAGGGGATCTAGCTACGTTGCCAGCTAGCTAGGGACTCTGGAAAACAGGATATACCTAGACAGGTCCTGAGTTCAATTTCTAGCAATCATATGGTGGCTCACAACCATCTGTAATGAGATCTGGTGCCCTCTTCAGGCATGCAAGCATACATGTAGGCAGAACACTGCATACATAATAAATACATAAAATTTTAAAAATGGGCATCTCAGTCCTTACCCAGACCTTTTAGAGTAGTAAGTCTTGGAAGATGATTATGTAGTGTATTTACCCTGTGGGGAGTGATTGAATGAAGTCTGCTGTGGAATAATCCTTTTCTATGCTATAAATATGTATTACTCTCATTGCTTATAAAAAGCTGATTTGCCAATAGCTGTGCAGGAAGAGATTGAATAAGACAGCCGAGATAGACGGAATGCTGGGTGGAGTCAGAAGAGTCTCCAGCCAGATGCATAGGGAGCAGGAGATGAATGTGCTAATAAAGGTACCACCATGTGGCAGAGTGTAAATAAGGAATATGGATTAATTTAAAATGTAAGAGTTAGCTAGTAAGAGGCCTAAGCCATTAGTAGAGCATTTATAGGTAATGTTGAGCCTCCATGTTGGTTATTTGGGAGCAGGCAGTTGGGACAGGAGAACTCTGCCTACAGAAATCCTGAGCTAATGTGTGCTGTTGACATGGGCATTACTTGTCAAGGACTCCAGTGTCTTAGCCTTATGGGAGAGGCAAAGCCTTCCCTGAGATGGTAAAGCCTTTCTCAGGAGTCCAAATGCAAATGCTGATAGTGTGTACAGAAAATGTCCACTGTAGCACCCCATGTTTAAGACCTAAAGACTGCTCCTATCAAGATTAGCTAATTTTGCCTGGTGATGGTGGCATATACCTTTAATCCCAGCACTTGGGAGGCAGAGACAGGTGGATTTTTGTGAGCTTGTGGTCAGTCTGGTCTACAAAGTGAGTTCCAGGATACGCTCCAAAGCTACAGAGAAACCCTGTTTCAAACAAACAAACAAACAAACAAAACCAAAAATCCCTTGCTTCCTTGATCCAACTGTATACTTTAAACCCCATCTCCTTGTTCAACTACATGCAATACCCCCACCTCCCTTTTCAACTATATATAATAAACACACTGTGCCAGGGATGTGGGAAGAGGGCTGTAGGTTTCTCCATCAGAGAGCCCGGACCATCCAACCACAGTTTTTCTGCATATGCATGTCTGTGTTTCTGTGTATCTGTCTTTTCTTCATTCCCTCACAGCCCCAGTCAGGTCAAGTCCTGAGGCCTGCAACAGTGCAGCCCTTGCCTTTTGGATACTTTTTTCCTTTTTCAGTTTTTAGTTTTATGTGTATGAATAGTTTTGCCTGCATGTATGTTTGTGCCCAAGGAGTCTTAAAGAGGGCATCAGTTCACCTGGGACTGGAGTTATGGCCATTTGTGAACCACCATATGGATGCTGTGAATTGAATTCAGGTCCTCTGGCAGAATAGCCATCTCTCCAGTCCCAACTTGTCAGATTTTTTTTTGTAATGTAAAAACATGAAAGTCATGTAGGGTGTGGTGGTACATACATTTAATCCCTGCACTAGAGAGGTAGAGGCAGGTGGATCTCAGTGCCTATGAGTCTAGCTTGATCTGTATAGCAAAGTCCAGGACACCCAGGGCTACACAGCAAGACCTCTTCTCAAAAACAAAACAACAAAAACATATGAACCTCTCAGGAAGGAGATGCATCAGTGCTCTTGCCTAACAGGCCTGAGTTAGAACTTCAGCCCGAGACCTAGAGAAAAAGATATCATGGAACTTTTATAATAATAACTAAGTGTGCAATGTTAATAACTATGGTCTAATTTCTATGCAGGCATGAACCCTGAACTTGGGTCATCTGTATTCCTTTGTGGGCTTTTGTTTGTTGTTTTTTTTTGAGACAGGGTTTCTCTGTAGCTTTGGAAGTTGTCCTGGAACTCACTCTGTAGACTAGGCTGGTCTCGAACTCACAGAGATCTGCCTGCCTCTGCTTCCTGAGTGCTGGGATTAAAGGTGTGTGCCACCACTGAGCAGCTATCTGTATTCCAATCTTGCTCCTTCCATGTGTTCTTGGGAAAATCAAATTGCTAGTCTGTGTTTCAGTGTCTGAATTTTCACAAAGGGCATAAAAATATGCCTTCATAAGGACAGTGAATGTATGAAATGAAATAACATGCACAGTGCTTAAAACAGTTTGAGGAATGTAGTGCTCACAAGTAGTAGTCACAGGGAATAGGACTGAATGTGCAACTTTAGTAGTGATAATTATCAGCAGTGATTATTATAATACTATACATTGTGTTTGATATTAGAAATAATAAACAAAATTAGAGATGATGTATAGTATTAGTAGCAATAATTTAGTGCAATCTAGAAACAAAGCTAAATTTAATTGATGATTTTGACAATCTTCCTCCAAATGTAACAGATATTTAAGAGGCTCATTTGTAGTATTCTTATTATTGTGATGTTTATATAGTAGTTTATAGTGAACAAATTCCTCCTAATATTCTTGAAGACTTCTGAAGAAAACCAACCTCCCAAATGAGGTACTGTTACTTACTGAGCAATCCTAATTGTGGACAAATACCTACTTTTCTAAAACTCTACTGTTGCCATGGCTACAGAAGCTAAATTTCCAAGCCCTTGTCAATTCTTCCTTTGATTAGTCCCTTCTCATGGAGATAATCCTCGCTGTCACAAATACCTCACTAAGAAATAATCTTATATCCCTATTTCATAGACATCTCTCCATGACAAAATATGAACAAATTCTCTATTTACAAACACCCAGCTACAATCTACTGTCTGCTGATGGACCCCATCCACAAATATCTTTCTTCATAATTACCCTCCTGGTTGCACCTCCCTTGTTGACAAATGTCTCTTTTCATGACTATCTGTCTAAGAGACAATCATTGTTGGCAAATTTTCCCATTTACAAATTGTGACCTACTAGCATATCTCCCAGATTCAGGTAGGAATGATAAACCTCCCCATTCATATCTTCCCTCAGTCCCCTCAATAAGCTTCCAATCTGGTCACTCACATAGCACCACCGATACTCATTTCATTAGTAATCCTGATATAAATCAATCCATTCGTAAAAACTCATCTATCCACATATAATTCCTATTGATTGATACCCCCACCCCACCACCACGGACATACACATATACATTTCTGATCTTAGGTATGTCCAGATGGAAAATAGCCTTGCTAGAATATCTCCCAACATTTACCCAATATGGTGAAGCATCTTTCCCCACTACCAGTGACAGATGAGGAAGTCAATTTGTATATGTATGCTTTACTGGGGATTAAGCCTAGGGCCTGGGACATGCTTGGCAAGTGCTCTATACCGAGTTACATCACAAACCCAGTGAAGTTCCTTTACATAAATCACAGCCTTTTCACTTTTTAGAATAGTGAAGCTCCACAAGAGAAAAGGACTGCAGCACAAATTCTCTCTGGAGAGGAGAGTGAAAAGAGAGTGCCTACGGAACCAAGAATGGCCTCCAATTCTTTTTTCTTTTTTGTTATTTAATTAACATTTTTTTCATTTATTTTACATCATAAGACTACAGTTTCCCCTCCTTCCTCTCTTCCCATCCCCTGACCCCCACACATCCCATCTGGCCTCTTCCCCATCCACTCCTCTGTCTCCATTCAGAAAGCGGCGTGGCCTCCATTTCTTAATTGTTCTTTTGCCCCTAGAGTGCTGGACTTACAGGGATGCACCACCACATCCAATTTAAGTCTGAGGTAGTTGTTTGTTTTGTTTTGTTTTACAGAGACAAGGTCTCATGCAGAACCAGGCTTGCCTGGAAACTTCTGATCCTTTTGCCTCCACCTCCCAAGTGCTGTCATTAAAGACACACCACACCATATTTGGTTATTTATTTTGTTCAAAGAAGACTGGGGGGTTAGGGAGATGGCTCAGTGGTTAAGGGCACTTGCTGTACAGTCCTGAAGACTGGAGTTCAGATCCCAGCACCCACATAACAAGCCAGACATGGTCCTGCACACACCTGTAAGCCCAGCACCAGTGGAGCAGAGACAGGAGGATTGTTGGGACTTACTGACTTCCAGCCTAGCTGAAAATCATAATTTCCAGGTTTTCTTCCAGGAATAAGGTGGATAATAATAGAGGAAGGTAGTCAATGCCCTTCTCTGGCCACCATATGCCCCCTCTAAGTGTTCATATGTCACATATACAAACACACACAAACACACACTTGCAATAAAAATAAATACTTTTTAAGAAATAAAAGACTCGTAGTTAGTTTTAGGTGACACATGTCTGTAATTCTAACAGTTCAGAGATTGAGGTGGGGGCTGGAAAATGACTCAGTAGTTAAG